TCAGTTTCAGCTATAATAGAGCTAGGTCTCACATATCTTTAAAAGCTGACACTAAGAAAGTCCTTTACAAACTGAAGACCCAGAGAAACTGTGTAGAACAAGGCAAAGGAAAAAATTATTCACCTCAAAAGAAAATTACTGTGTGTCTTGTACAAAACCTTTTCAACTCCAGTGAAAATATTTACTTTAAATGGCAGTGCACCATATTGATCAACAGAGAATTGGAAACACTACAGTAATAAGAAATAAAGTACAATTTAACACAATAGGGGCAGACAGAAAATTGCAGAGCTTCACAAATTGACTAAAGAGCTGTATTATTTAACTAATAGACAAGGAATTCCATTGCAGTAATGAATTACAAAGAATAGCTGAGTACTGAAAAACAGACATATCAAGAGTTTCCTAGCACTGTAAAACTTCTGTTTCCCCCAAAGGAAAGGCATAGACATCTAGTTTGTGATCAGCCATGTTTGTATTGCAAATCATGAGAGTTAATTTATAGATTTACAAATTCTTAATTTGAACTTTGGAAGTCTCTACAGCATCTGAATTTTTTTCTCTCTTCCCAATCTGTATTCACCACAATTCTTTTTTTAAAGTTTAATATGCAAATTACCCTTTTATACTTGGCTCATGAGCATTGAAGAAGGCCCCAGACAACAAGAGCATCTTGCTGAGTGAAAAATGTAGGGTCAAATCTCTTGCATTTTTTAGGAAGTCATATTCACATGCCATATGAAGTGGTGTATAAAATGAGCCTTTCTTTAAAGCTCAAAACCAAATTTATTTTAATTTTTTTAACTTGATTATCATGGATTGCTTTAATTTCTTCCACGACACCAGTTTTCTCTTTTAATGACTTACTGCAAAGGTGAAGCTGTGCTTCACTAGGTGTTTGAGACTGCTGCAGCTGCTGAAGTGGGGCTGTGTTCATGCCATTTTTAAAGAAAACATCTTTTTGTTATATAATCTGAAAAACAGATGCAAGCCAGAGTTCCATTCTTCTCTTCCCAAACACAATCTTCTTTTAAGTTGCAAATCAATCCAACATGTCTCAGATGTCTGCCTCCAGCTGACTTCTCCCTTTAAACATAAACAGTGCAGATTCCCAAGGCCTGTTACTCTTGACAACCCTATAATGCCATCCTTTAGACTCCCCAAGCTCTGTAAATCTTCGTTTCATCACAGCTTGAAGTGGACCAGTCTATTTGCACTGCTCAAGATATGGAAAGCTATAAACCAGCTTCCACAGTAAACTCATCAGCTTATAAAATTGTTTCAGTATGACCTAAGCACCTATCAATGAAGCAGATAAGTTGCAGCTTTCTTATTTTAAACATTTTAGTTTGTTTGCAATCTAATTATTCAGTGCTGTTTTACATCTACAGCTGGGGAGGAAAGCTCCATTAATTTCTGTAGTGACTCAGGCTGAAAAACTGCTGGGCCAGCAGAAGAAGAGGTGACTACATGTACTTGTATGAGGCACACCAGGGTGGCAGATGGCCTTTTAACATCTTTAAGTACCTAGTGATATGAAGAGTAAGCACTTCCAAAATGCATTGGTGAAAATCACCAAACTCCAACATATGGAAAACCATGCAGGGGAGTATGCACTTAACGGAGCCAGCCAGTTATCTTCTTTAGGAGGTTAACATTTGTTCTTAGCCACAATTCCAAAATTTCCAATGCCCTGCCATAAAGCAGAGAGATATCCATTCTTCATAGCAATGGTAACCTACAGAAAGGCCACTACTTGTTGCAATTATTAGCAGCTACAGGCTATACATCCAATGTCTTTTTTTTTTTTTTTTTTTTTTTTTTTTTTTTTTTTATTAGAGGGGAAGGAAAGGCATTAATAATTTGGTGTGTTGGAAGCTGAGTGCTTTTTTCAGCCTTAAAAACAGTGCAAAGAGAACATGGTTTATTTTAAAAGGGGCTAAACGCATGCCTTGCTAGCAGCAAACACGATGTGCTGTTTCCATAGAAACAGAGGCTGGGATTATTAAAGGAAGAGAGGCTTTCTATGGCTGGTTCTCCTGAGGGACCCTCATTTACAGACAGTATTGGGTAAACTGGGTAAGTGAGTTTTACCACCTGTTGTTAAAGATCGTTAGATATGCCTCTTTAAAGCTTTATTAACTCTCTGCTAATTCATGACAGAAGTGTGAGGAAAATAATTATCCTCTACATATAGGTTCTTCTGGAAGATTTACACTAAAAATCGAAACCAAAGTCATATCCTCCTTTAAACTGAGTTGGCTTTGAAGGATGCTACTTGCCATTATCTTGGTAGAAGAATAGAGACATAATTTTGTCTCTGTCTCATAACGAAAAAAATTTCCCTCCTATTGAAGACTTCAAAATCTATATGCTTGAATAAAGAGACCCAGAGGAAACTTCTGAAACTGGAAAACTGAGTAGTAGAAAAACAGTAAGGTATTATTTCAGAAAGTTACTGAAGATTTAAAACTAAAGGTATGCATCTGACTATTTATCGACTCACATGTCCTGTGGTTAATCTAACTTTTTAATGCCATGAGGTACTTTCAGATGTGATAACATTCAATTCTATTTTTGTCAGTGCTCACTGATTTCTATAAACTGATGTTGTTTAAGTCATTGCTGCTCTTGGCATTTTCAGCTTTCAGGACTGGCAGAGTAAATGGCACATTGGGAAAGGTATCGGAAAGCATTCCCCATCTCCATTCTCTAAATACAGTATGCTAGGTGCTAAAAAAACAGCTGATCATGTTATAGCATCCTGTTGTCCTACATAAAAAATACAAGGCTGGTTTAGTGTAATGGGGCTGGAGCTAAACATTTTTTATTAACTCTTTTCTTTCAATTTTAAAACATAATTTCTTCATATCTTCTGCAAATCCTAAACTGAGCTACCCATGTTTTCTGGTTACATTTGAGGCTATAGGAAACAGTGGGCTTGGAAAGCAACATTTTACTAATTATGGACTATTCCACACAAGGAAGACAAGCAACTTTTGCCAAATACAGGAATCACACAGCCATCATGCTCTGGCTATTGTTTCAGGATTTGTATGTAATCCAGACATAAATGGTTTGAAAGGCTTGATATAAAACACAGGTCTGGACTTAGCATTATTAAAAAAAATCTTAGAGCCAGTGTAGGATACTTCACAAACTACAAATCTCCTTTGTAGAAATCTCCTTTGATCCCCATTTTTTTTGTTTGTTTGTTCATTTAAATTGATACATTTCAATAATTCCACTAGGACAGGAGGAGCTGGCATCACTCCATCAGCACACTGATTATGATTATGGTGCATGAACTTCAAATCTTGATGTTGCTTCTGGAAGCTTTGTTTTCATGTGTTTCAAGAAAGGAAAAAAAAAAGAGAAAAGAAAGAGAAAAATCTGCTTTGAAGTATCTGCTACAGAAGCCAGATTATCACTTGTTTTCTGTTTGGTGCCACATTTGAAAATGAGATTCATAGAAAGACAAGTTAATAATATGTTTCCAAGCTTCTAATCTTCAGTGGAAAACAAAAAGTCAATGTGCACACAGAAAGGACATATAAAAATTTTTGTCTCCTTGTTTTGCTCTCAAATAGCTTCTCTTTTCACTCAGTTTGCCAGGGCAGTTAGCCAGCACTGTTCCTAAAGCTGCCTGTTGCAGCAGGAGTCATCTCTTTAGTCCTCCTACCTCAGCATGACGACCTCAAAGAGAACCCCACTAAGCTCTTCAAAATGCAAATTAAAGTTGACAAAGGCCAAATCCTGGAAACGCTGATGCAAAATGGTAATGCAAAAGAACTTGGGTAAATAATAACTACAGAAAGAAACTGAGACTTGTACTGGCTCTGCATTATAAAATCTTCCCAGGCTGGAAAGACTTGGTAAATTTTGCATGGCACTTCACTGTACCTGCTGGTTTCTGCTCTGAGGCTGCCAGTTATGGGTCAGAGGGATCAGCAACAGAATGAGGGTCCTTTGGGAGCAAGAGAGCTACTTATCAGAAAACCCTTAATTGCTTTCTGTGAGGTATGCAAGCTGAGGTTAAATCTCTGTTCAGAAAAATGCTATCATGAAAAGGCAATATAATAAGTCAACAAAAGAGAGAAAGAAAGTGAGCAAGCTGCAGTAATTTTGATATGTTTATGCATACATGTATGTATAAACCCCAAATACATGTGTAGCGTCTTCAGCAGGAATGGAGAGTGAACTGAGACTTAGCTGTGTGTGCTTGAGACAGCTGGACATCCATCCCAGCTCTAAGAAAGGTGGGCAGAATGCAGATGAGCAAACATGTGTGTTTAACACTTTTCTGCCTGCTCAGTGTCTGTGGGTAAGTGAGCAGCACTTCCCCCCAGCGAAAGCTGCTCCAGTCTGTGTCAAGCAGCTGCTGCTGCAGACGTGCAGAGGAAGCGTCGAGCACCCACCAAGGACAGCTGGGCTCAGCACAGCCCTGCAGGGGGACAATGGAGAAGCCACCCCACAGGACCACGGGGGTGTGCCCAGACTGCTGGCTGCACATCAGACTAATTATGGGAGGGTATCATGTGTAGGGGGTAGAGTGATCCTGGTGATCCAGGTGAGCACAGTGTGAACCACAGAATTCCAGTGGGGACCTGTCCAAGCCGGTCTGCCCCGGAGAAAGGTGACGCACAAAGAGGAAAAGAGAATGAAATAAATCTGCCTATCCCTTCAAAAGGACACTCTTCAGGTTTAATTTTACATGAGAATGTTTTCTTAGGACAAAGTGAAGAAAAACTCTCTTGGGAAATACATGATTTCATTTTCGAAGAAAAACACTGTACATAGCAGAACAAAATTTAGAATTTGAAAAAGCAAGCATTTGACATTTAGAGGAAGCCTGTACAGCCTTAATTATTTCACTGTATGCCTACAAACTATGACACACTTTTATGATGTACCTTTTTTTCCTAACCGTCCTCTCATTCAGCCCAAGATTCTCATGCAGCTAGCAGCTATTTAATGTTTGCTTTCTTCTTGTTTTTCAGGTGCAGCTCACCAAATGTCATTTACTGCACTCTATAGCCTCATCTGAAGGTGGAATTATCCTCTGTAGGCTGTGTTTCTCCTTGCTATGATACCTGAGTGCCTCTTAGACCTGAATGTATTTCTCTAATATCCATTCAAGGTGGGAGGGGGTAGTTATGTCATCTTCCAAGATGAGAACCTGGACATGGGAATTAGTTTCCTAGGAGGATTTAGGATGTAATTTGTAGCATCTGCTTTTAAAATACTCTGCCATTTAGTGCCTGCCCCATCACAAACAGAGCAAACATCATTCGCTAACCAGGGAAAAGTATTGGCAAGAGGGGAACAGATTCAACACTCTTTTTCCAAGAGTGGGAGATTTCCATTCCCCTCAAGATTCACTGTCAGGGACATACATCTGGGATAAAATGAGAAAGCACTAAGTGATGGATTCAGTGCCATTCTTCCTGTTTTCTGTAGTCTGTAGGTAATAGCTTTTATCTACACTAGATAAAATAAATTTGAATCCTTCTTCTGCATAACTACATCTAATTTGGATCAAACCTAATTGGATATGACAATAATGAAATTGAAAACAAATCTATTATGTCATAACATCACCAGGTATTGCAGTACTTGTAGGTTTATGGGAGTCATGGTTTAGAGGCTGTTTTTTACTTCTCAATCCCCTCTGTTCTCCCACTGCTACATTCTTGCTGTGGAGCTGGGATCTGATTCTGTGGATTTTTTGCTAAAAACTCTTCCCTCTTCCTGCCCTCAAAAGCAAGGGATTTTCAAACTGGACAATGTTTTCTGGACTCCTGACACGTGGATGCAAGAAGAGAGCTTTCTGTGCAACAGCACTACCTGGAAAAGCAAGAGGGCTGAAGTCAGGATCCAGCAGGTTTGGGCAGTGCAGGACTGGGCTGGGCCCCCAGCACAGGGCTTCCAACTGGCATTGCTGACACTTCAGTGGCACATCATAACAGACTACATTTATTATCAGAAAACATTTCATTCTATGGGCATTTATATACTGTCCAAAACTAGTTTCAGCTGCCAGTCTTGCCCTATGAAGTTCATTTTATGTAACTACTCTTCACCAGATCAGGAACTACAACCTACCATTCCTGTCTCCCTGATGCTGGCCTCAGTACGCAGAATCTCTCCCTTTTTATCAGAAATTTTGAATCAGAGATGAGCCTGTTCTGTGAACCCAGCTGAGGCTAACCTCTGGAGCAGGATGTATGCAGCTCAGAATTTTCAAGTTGTAAGTTCAAGTTGTGGTTCTCTACACAAACATAGCAAAGAGAAGGTCTAGCTATGAGCATCCTCTGGTTACTACACCTCTGAATATTTTCCTGCACATTTCCCTTAGGATGTAAGCAGATATTTTAAAGTAAAGAGCATTTAGGAACCTTGACTGGCCACACTATAAAGCCTACCATCTTTTTTTCAGCATGTTTGGCTTTAGACATGGAAGGACAGCTCCTGTTTAATTCACTTGAGCCTGATGTGTAAACCTGAAGCACCTTGGTGAAATAAGTAGAGCTACAGCCAGAGCAGAAAGGCAGAACAAGCAATTGGGAGTCTCATGCAAATTCTCACAAATTATTCCATCTGATGACTTTGAGACAAAAATAGATGTCTGAAAAATTGCCTTTAATGTAAACTGAAGCTTTGAACTCCACAGCAGTACTTGTTGCAGAGCAAAGATCTTGTTTGGGTAGTCTATCTTGAATTTTAGTAGTTGCAATATAAAGACTCTTGAAGAAGATACTTGAATATGAATGAAGTAAAATTAAAAGGAAGACAGTAAACCATAAGTCTGACATGAGGGATAAGGCATCATAAGATATGTCAAGAAACTGAGAAAATTCTCTGTTTTTTAAAGATGGTAGTTAAAAAATACTTTTTTGCAGAATATTAACTGACACTGAGACAGGCTCTACACCAAAACAGACCCTCCTTAGCACTGTGGGATGATGAAAGAAACCAACAGACATTTTAAGAAAGGGCTCAGTGAGGGAAATGCCACTTGCCCTGTATATTTCCTATTGCCCTATTGCATCAGTGCTTTTGGAATAGAACAAAAATGATTTCACTAGTAGAAAAGTGCCAGAACAGGGGGAGGGAGCTTCACAGAAAAAAAAAAGAAGTGGTGAAACACTGTGTTTGGAAAGTGATGATATTTTCATTCCAACCTTATACTGCAAAGAGTGAGATGCAACTAAAAGCTCTGTTCCATGGAAAAGCCAAGCAAAACTCTTGATCAGAAGTAATAGTGTCTTGTTAAAGTGCAATAAAAGATATACCTTCATCTGAAAACAGCATCTTCTTTCTCTCTCAAGCTGTTGTACATGTAGTTTCTGTTGATTTCAGTGACATTTTGGAAAAAAATTTAGTTAGTTTCTTTTTTTTTCAGCGTATACCAGCAGGATGAACACAAAATTCTCCCTCCCAAAAAGAATCAGTTGCTGATGCAGACAGGAGAATACTCTATCACAGACAAAGGGAAGATTTTCTATCACCCCTTTTTGCCACACCTGGCTGATCCTGACCCCAGGAATTGCTCAGGTCTCCCCAGACCTGAGTTTCTCGTGTTAACTGCACAAAGGAGAACCAGGTCAGTAAAGTTTACTCTGCAAAGTGTTTAAGTGAATTCATTTTGATTGGAGCAACTAAAGGTGCAGTTTACACAAGAAGCAGTTCACACTGCAAGAAGAAAACAAGCAATCCAGCCACTAAGTCTGATGGACAGTAATTTCCCACAGAGGAGCAATGTTAAGTGAACTAGGGACAAGTGTCCCTTCCACTTTTCCCACCACCACAGCTGGGTTCAGACCAGAGCAGCTACTGGCAATCAGATCACCCACTGTCTCCTGCAGAAAGTTCTGCCCTTTAAGAGCCAGAGTTAGAGGTTTAAAGCTACCCAATTAGGCAATTTGGGGAAATTTTTTTTTTTAATGCTATGATTTTACTTCAGTCACTGAATAACAGAAAATCCATATTTTCCTATGTCATTTTTATGACCACAAATCTGTGTTTTGCTGCCATCAGAAATGTTCAGAGAGTTAATGTGGTGTAACAGCAGTCCAAATGAAATTAATCTGCAAATTGTCATAGTGATTTGAGGTTGACAAGAATTTCTTCTCAGCTGGAAACCGCAGAGGGAGAGCTTCACAGATCACTTGGTCAGCTACGTGCCCCATTAAACATCACTGACTGATATCAGTGAAGGCTTATCAATCACCAGAGTCCCAGATACTGTGAAGAGATTAGGAGTGCCACAGTTTAGTATGGAAAATAAAATCCCTGGTGGGTTTTCTGCGTCCTCCAGTCTGCTTTGTTTTGTAGTGAAATTTTAATAGGAGTTCAAGAAAAAAAGATGGAGAAGGAATGAAGGTGCATTTCCGTCTTTTCTCACCTAATCCTTTCTCTAATGCTTTAGGAAGTTGCTGGTACAACCAGATTATCAGGATAACTTTGTAATTGCAACTTGTCTGGTAGTGAAGGCATTAGACTTTGGTATGAAACATATGCTTTCCTTCTGTTACCACAGGTGTATGTGGCCATAACTTTGCCCTGATTTCACAAGATGAAGAGAAGATCCTGCTGTGTTGCTCTATTTCACTTGGTCATAATGTCAAAAATTAATGTAATACTCTTCCATCCAATGACTGAAAACAATGAAGCTTTTCTTTCTGGTGCTCTCATAGATAAGCTGTCAATTGCCTTGATTTAGCATCAGCAACAAGTTAGGACCATTTTATTTCCTAAATAAGCAATTTTCATGCTTAGGCACATACTCTAATATTGATCTTTTTACTGCTTGCAAACTACATTCAGATAGAAAAGTAAAATAAAAATAAATCAAAACTTGAATGACTCACAAATAAAAGCCAAAATCCCTTCTTCCATATTTTTTTCAGCCCTTTCTTTCAGCTGGAAGATGAAATCTCAAAAAAAAGCTTAAATAAGAGATTCTTCTAAATATGCAGCAATGAAACACTGATTGCATGTTTAGAAAAGGTCAAAAGTCTTAAACCTCCTAAGCTATCAGTTTTCTACTTGAAAAGTAGTCTGAAAATAGGACTATCCATTTGCATCCCTGCAATGTTAATTTCAGGACATGAATAGAAACATGAACTGCTAAGGTGCTGATGCCAGGTGAATGCCATTCTGAATCAGTGACAACAGCTTTTTGGGAAAATACAGCCATGCTCCATATCAGCAAGCAGAATGACCACTGGTCCATTACCAAGTTAGTTTGCAGAAAACATGCTGAGTTAAAGGGAGTGAGTTCTAATGCCAGTAACTGATTCTGCACATTACAAATATCTTCCCAATCACTGCTTAGGCAACATTTTCTTATCTACAAAGCATTTGGTCTGTGTACAGGCACAGCTGCATATCTTCGAAACTCAACAACACATAAATTTACCATTCCAAAACCAAAATAAGTAGAATTTATTAAAAAAAAATCCCAAACTTGCAAAGTAAGTGTCTAATCAAAATGGATAGAACAGAAGTGGTATATTTTTTTATAGAGAGTAAATTTCTAATGCCAGTCCTAGTTTTAGTTGGAATTTTAGCTTTTGGAGTCTTTTTATCAGTATCAGTGCACTCAAAATTGAAAAGATTTTCAATTTAAGACAGTAGAAGGAAAGAAGTTTTAACAAATGTCAGATCTCTCAAGGTGAAGATGAAGCATGTTTTAAAGATCAGTCAAGGAAGCCTGAATAAATGAGCCCACTGAAGCACCTACTTTTACTTCTAAATGTACCCTCTTTCCGTGGAGGAGGAAGGCTGTGTGAGCATCAATGCACATAGCATAAGGAGATAGAGGTAGGTGATATCATTCTTCTATTTCCATGAAAAATGTGGAAGCCCATCCGTTTCAAGAACTGACACACAGTCTCACCATTTGAAGTGTGTAACATCTATGCTTGATATCTCACAGTGGCAGCATCTGACCCATTGGTTTTGGTTGTAAGGCAGTGAGATTTCTCTCCTTCACATACAGAGAATGGAAGAGGAACTGAACTGATTGCCTTCAAGTTTTCACAGCGATAGTCATTTCAGAAAGTTTTGACCAGACTTTCAAAGCAATTTTATATGATTGTACCTCAACTCCAAATGAGCTCACCTCAGAAAACTGAACAAGCGAACAATGGAAGTTAAAATTCATATGACTGCCTGATAAAGTAATGCATGATTGCCTTGAAGAAAGCAGGCAGTCTGAGCATTTATTTGATGTAATTTAGATATGCTGCAAAAGCCTCTTCTAAAGGTTCCTTTTTTCACCAAAAAAATGTATAACACAAAGGCTGAAACATGTAGCTTCAAGCATGACATTAATTTTGTTCCAACCATACTGACTACATAGCAAAAGCTCTTGAGAGTTCTAAAATGTGCACATGCATTCTTTGGTATGGATTGCAGAAGCATGCTTGATATTGAAAAAGTCTTTCCAGACATAGAAACTTTGATAAAATACATATTTAAAGGACAATTAAATTTAAAATATTCTTAGGAGATATTTCTCCATTTTTCAGATTCTTCTCCTTAGGCAGTAAAATGTCATTTAACTGTTCATAATAAAGGCAATATATCATTTTTGTGTATAACAGCACTTCTCAGTTTTTCAGGACAAAATTTCTTGTCATACTGAAGGAATTATGCATCATAACAGAAACACAATAAAAATCCACCCATTTTTAATTGCTTAGAACTGATTTAGGAAAAAAAAAACTAAATGGGAAGCTGAAGGAAGCTTTTCTTTAGAAAAATGTGGCAAATATCTAATTAATGCATGAGTGTCTGGAAAAAGGCCCGGAATCAGCAGGCCTTGGTACCAGGTCAGCTTTAGGCACGTGTATGAAACAGTAGTGATGATACTGCATAATTGCACCTGGAAAAGGCCAAGCATATGCATTTACAAGTGAGAAAGAGCTGAGTGAGATGACAGGATGCTCTGTGCCCACTGGGAACACCCCCAGCCTTGCAATCATGTCTGCAGCGCTCTGTTCAGGTCTCTTTTGCAGAGCAAGAGGATTGGAGCATGACTTTTGGCTTCTCCCTGTCAAAAAAATATAGAAATGCAGTAATTCCACATTCACATAGAGAGATCTTAAAATTTTGCTTTCTTAGAATAAAAATCCCTGTAGAAATGTACCATTCATTTTTGCCTACTGTCCCCTCAGTCACTCTTTAAAAACTGTCTGAGGAGAAAGAAAAATACCAAGAGATGACAACAGAAATTATGGGAATCATTTGAATTTTAGTCAGTTCAACATTAATTTGGGAAAAAAATCATCGACTAATGGAATTGCAGTGGATCTATATCAACATAATTGGGTGGAATTTAGTCTTGTGCATTATAATGTGGGCTAATTATTTTTCCTAAGCCATAAATTAGGGCTTATCCAATTGCACTCTAACAGAACACAGATTATTTTCCTCTTTTGGAAAGAATTAATGACAGGTAAACTTGCATACACTTCAAAAAAGTTTGCTAAAATTTGCTGTGAGAAAGTCATTTAATGTCTCTTCAGCAAATATTTGGAACTAGTTGCTAACTCTCATACAAGTGATAGATGCCTAAGTGCAGTCCGGATGACAATATTAGGCTATACTGAACAGACTTACGCCCACAGATGGGTTCATTACATTTTGCATATGCTGGTTATTTGGCATTTAGCTGGAAAATTCCTCTTTTCAAGGACATTGAGTACGCTGATGAATCCTTGCATGTGTAAATTATTGGGTGAACTTTAATTATGAAAATGTTTTATTATTAAAGTGTAAAATTATTATCAACACCTATGAAGTGCTTAAGACAAAAATAATATATGCACATAAGGCACACATACAAGGAAATATCAGAAATATAGAGGCACACAGAAATTATTGCTTTCACGGAGATTTATGTTGTGCAAAAGTTTCAGTCAATTATTGTACATGTTAAAATAATTTTTTTAAATACTTCTCCACTTCTGTCGGGAAAAGCGCAAAAAAGATGGGTTTCACCTCAAGCTGTGGGTTTCTTCTGAAGATATTTTATTAAAATATTACTTATGTGTAACTGAAATAATCAATATGCTGTAAAAATGTAATCATTCACTGGGATGTGACCTAAAAATCCTTTTATTCACACAGTGAATGTAACCTTAAGTAAGACCACTTAAGGATGTACAAATGTGGAGTATCAGAAGCTCAAATTTACTATTTTGCTCAACTCCTTGAAATCAGCTTTTAAAGACAGGATGTAACAAAGTTTATGAACTATTTCATGTGTTCTGATCTCAAATGCAGGGGCCAATCACATCTTGCTGAAAATGAGCCAAGGCATTTGCCAGTCTGTGTTTCCTAAGAAGACTTTGAAATTTAGTTGGAAAACAAAACAGTGGCATGAAAACTCATACTGAGCATGTTAGCTTTTGGATAATTTTCAGCTTCTCTTTTTTTCAACCCAAAGTTAAAATAAAATGCAAAAGGTTCTCTTGTTTTCCCATCAATTCCAGTTAGTAGCAAGAAAAACAGAACTAGTCCTGTTCAACCTGTGCCACACTATCAGATAAATTCCCAAGAGCACAGGGGAGCAGAAGAGATGACATTGTGTATCTCAATAAGGGGAAAATTCTGTGATTTTCATATTTGACAATACATTTCTGTACAAACATAATCTGGTATACCTTACTACACTTAGAATGGTACTTCTATCTGTAGTCCTATGCACCTGGATGTACAGAAATGTGGTACTGTGCAAACAGTAGGCTGAAATAATTACACTGGGCATTAGAATGTGGAACAAGCTATCTGTCAAATTCCAGTCACAGATCTGTGGGTATGAAATTCTAAGGAAACTACTTAAGCCCTCCCAGAAGGAAATTCTAAGTCAATTTATTTACACTACCCATGGGCAATCACATCAGAGGCATGGGAAGTCTGTGCTCATGTCGTCCAAGACTGTGAAGGAGTCACAGAAGGAGCAGATTTGATAGGCTGCAGTTCCTGGGGGCCCACAAAAAAATTTAAAAATGCAAAATTTGCACCATTTGCACCATTTGCACCAATTTGCTCCAGTAGGAACTGGAGAGTCTTTATTCATTCATAGTAAGACCTTTTCTTCTTCCGTTCATCCATGAAAAATGGAATGAAAAGGAGAAAAGTAAAAAAGAAAAAAGACTTTTTTTTTTTTTAAGTGCCGAGAGAGAGACCTGTCAAGCAAAGCAGATTCCAAATGGCTCCCAGAGCATGTGAGCTGTCATCCACCTTCAGCTTCCTCTCACAGATGTACACTGAAAGCCTCTGACTGAAACCACTAAGGTCAGGGTGTGACCTGAAGACCATTCCACACATGTGTGCACACACATG